CTAGGGTGAGCTGCGGGGCTGCCCTGGTGTCCTGGTGGAGGCGACGGCCCTGACCGCGGTACCTGAATCCAAGGTGTAGGAAGTGTTTGCTGCCCAGCTTCGTCATGGCCTTCCTGGCCGCATCATCCAGGTTCCGGGACCCCTCGTCGTTCACTGCCACCGAAAGGATCCTGCCCGCGGGCACCGCGTTCAAGTACTGGACCAGGCGTTCACTCTCCTTCTTGGATCTGTAGGTGTCAAACCTAAAAAGGTCGGAGGTGGGGGGTTAATAGTCCTGACAGCAGCCCCTGCAAAGAGACGTCCGAGCTCACGGTTGTGTTACAACCACCAACACGCCATCCAGAGCCCCCTGCGGGCTGTGAGCTTTCAAGAAAGTCGCCTCTGTGCCAGCAAACGCCAATCTTCCCGACCTTGACAAAGGTCACCCGGTCCCGCACAGAAAATACCCAGGAAGCGTGACTTCAAACAAACATCTGTACCACCGGGGGTGCGCATTTACAGGGAAAAGACACAATTTCGCAACGACCCCCATGGAACTCTAAAGATTTGGTGCAATGACAACAGAAATGCCCAAAGAATGCGTCCTGGGAATTAACAAGCGAAACTGCTCTAAAGCGGATCTAGGAGCGCCTGGGGGGCTCAGTCGGTTGAGCGGCCGACTTCGGCTCAGGTCACGATCTTGCGGTCCGTGGGATCGAGCCCCGCTTCGGGCTCTGCGCTGACGGCTCGGAGCCTGGAGCCTGCTTCCGATTCTGGGTCTCCCTCTCTCTCTGCCCCTCCCTGGCCCATGCTCGCTCTCTCTCAAAAATAAATAAAAACATAAAAAAAGGTGGTTTTTTTTTAACGGATCTAGAAAAATGAGCTGGCATGAAGACCAAGATTTGGGGAAAGAAAAATGGTGGTCACGGGGGTGGGGCCGGCTGGCTACGTGCTCCTGAGCCCTCGGACTGGAGAGCAAGTGTCTATGCAGCTGGTGGGTCCGGGCCCGGGCCGCTCATTCTGTGCCCCCCGCCCCCCTGGCTTCGAGCCGGGCCAACCTCAGTGCCACAACCACACCGCACGTCTTCACACGCCCTTCCTCACCTCCCCCTGCCTGATCACACGCTTACTGCCTGTCAAGGGCGGACCCACATTCTTCTCCCTCCCGGAACCTTCTCAGATGGCAGCTAGTAGCTCCTGTGTGCGGGCGTGTGTCGTGTTGGCGACCCTCTTCACTCACACACCTCCGGCCGCCGGGTTCTCAAAGCCACACACACGCATACTTTAACCAAAGGAGATTCGGCCGAGCAGCCGTTCCGTCTTGGGAACCTGAACCCCAGCTGCCAGGGTGGCTTCCCACGGACCGCCCAGCCCCGGGGCACCCGCGGAAGTCGCCCAGGGTCAAGGGTCTGGGCAGACCCGGGTTTGAATCCCGGCTCCGACACTCGCCGGCCTTGTGACGCAGCGCACGGAGCCCACGGGGCCTCAGTGTTTCCCTCTGTACGACGTGGATGATCACAGAACCTACTCGGGGGGTTGATGATACAGATGGTCGGTCAACGCGGTTAACTCGTTGTTTTGCACGAAGCCCGATGAACGTCACTGGTGTTCACCGCAGGGCAAGGGGGGGTCGTCCCGCATATTCCTGCCCAATGTGCCCTGTGTCCCCGCGGCCCCCTCCTCCCTGTGTCCCCGTGACCCCTGCTCCCGGCTCCCTGCTCCTCGTGCCCTGGTTCTTGCGGAGCCTGCGCCCCCCGCGTCCAGCAGCAGCAGGACGGCTCGGGGTCTGCCCGCCTGCCCCAGCCGAGTCCTTCCTGGGGGGTCCTCCCCTCCGAGTGCCCTGGGACAGCCTCTGCAGACTCTGCTCACACCCGAGCGGGGAGGGGGTGGGGCGGGAGGGAGCGGAGACATGCCCTCCCTGCCTCTTAGGCATCTCTCGAGTGCTTCCATTTCCACTGCCGTAGCTTCTGCCCGAGTCCCGGCCGGCGGCCCCTCTCAGGCCAGGCAGAAGCCTCCCGGCCACCTCTGCTCTCTCTCCTTCTGTCTCCACCATCCATCCATTCTCTACTCGGCAGTCAGAACGTTCTTTTCATCAGATCAGACCCTTCTTAAGACCCTCCAGGGGCTTCACGTCCCACTTAGAATAAAACCTGACTCCTTACGGTGCCCCGCGAGGTCCCGCACCTGCCCCTGCCCCAAACCCGGACATTACTGTGTCCCAGTGCCATTGCTCTGCACCCCCCCGCCTCTCTGCTGGCCTTTCCGGGTTTCCATCACGACCCCCTCACCACTGGCCCTTTGCACTTGCCGCCGTCTCAAATACTCTCTCCCCGACTCATGTTCACCCTGCAGTTCTCCGCTCAAATGTTGCCCCTTGAGGCTGGCCTTCCCTGGCTGATGCCACGTGGGCTTCCCTGGTCACTTTCTGCCTCTTCGCTGTGTCTTTTCTCCCTAATCACGAACGATCGTGATCTGGAATGATGTCGTGTGTACGTGCGTGTGCGTCTGCCCGTTCCTGCTAATTCTCTTCTGTAGGCAGATGCCCGGGGAGGGAGGGATGAAACTCCTGGAGGTGAGGGCTTCTGGCTGGCCGGCTCCCTGCCGTATCTCAGCGCCTGGACCAGCATCTGGCTACGGCCCAGGCTCGGTGAACGTCTGTGGAACGAAGGGCTGTGTGTTCACGTGAAGGCAGACCTTACCGGTCGGAGTGGATGACAGTCGCCGATTTGGGGTCGATGATATGCACGATGACTCCACGGTGACCCCAGCTCCTTTCGAAAAAGTAGCCCCCCTCCTGCATGCCGCCTGGGTGAAGGGTCTTGTTCAGAAACGTCCAGGAGAGCTTCTTCTGTCCGTGTAGCTCAAGGACGCCTCCTCTGCCGATCCCGATGTACTTGAGGCCAAAGTAGGGGTCCGGCTGAATGCCTTCGTCGGCCCTGCGAGAGAAAACAGCTGCCCAAAGTCAGCCGACGCCCCACGGGATGCGGAACCCAGAGGGGACCTCGCCGCTCCCTCCCTGACCGCCGGAGAACCGGTCACACGCGGGGACTTGGGAGGCCGGCAGCAAGGGCGTCACCGACCAGATCTTCCTAAGCCAGACGGAAATGCGGCCGAAAGGCCAAGCCAAAGCCCTTATCATGAGTTTGTACGTTGCTGCTTCGTTCCGGGCCTGACTGTGCTACACTCCGGTCCACGTCAGAGGCCCTGCATGGTGCACACGGACCTCTGTGTATTTCTGGCCACCACTTCTGAGAACTCTCAGTTGGCCAGAGGCCGGCACCGTGTGGAAATTTGCTTTATCGTGTCCATCCTAACCCGTTGAATAAACACCCCCAGAGGCTCCCTGAGGCTCGACATGACGGAAAGGCAGCCGGAAGTCTGGCAGGGACGTGCGTCCCCTCGGCGTGGACCCACAAGAAACACAGCACCGCCTCCAGCTCGCCCCAGCGGCCCACGTCTGTGTTGCTCGTGGTTCCGCCCGGCGGGCTGCGACCATGGTCCCCGTCCCGCCATCCCGCCTCCCTCCCGCCTTTGGAAGGCCTCCTTCCCATCAGATCCAAGAGGAGCATTTGACCTGCGGAAGCTGACCGCCCACCTGCCGTACAGAACGATGCTGAAGTTGCCCTGGTAAGGGCAGAGGGCGCTCCCCGCGTGCAGCTCCCCTCCGTTGTCAACCAGGATGTGCCGGGTACGCAGGACGATCGCCTCGTCTTGGTCCTTAATGACCAGCTTTCCTGAGGAGGCGGGCAGGGGTGGGGTTGACGAAGACGCGAGTTAGCGGGGAGGCCGTAGGGGGAGCTGCGGGGGGACCTGCCAAGCCCCCGCCTCGGCCAGACGGGCAAGAAGGCAGGTCTGTCCTGGGACTCCTACCCTTCCCGTGCTCACTACCGGCTTCTCCTCTCTCCTCTCACCCTGCGATGCGGGGACACCGCCTGCCGGCTTGCACCCGCCGCCGTGCGTGCCGTGCTCAACGGGCGAGCGTCTGGCGGCGTGACCAGCCGGCACGCTCCGAGCGCCAGCGAGAGCCTCCCTCTACGCTTCCTCCGCCAAGACTTGGACTGCTGACGGGCTGCTCCTAAGCGCCCAGAGGGGATGGCGTCATGACCCACCAGACGCTCTGACCCGAACCCAGGGCCCGTGACCGTCATTCTGCCCGTCCGGACCCCCGGCCGCCTGCTGGGCTCTGAGGCCGCGGCCGGGAGGGAGGTCGGGGGGAGGCCGGCTTACCTCCCTCTGAGATGTGGATGGAGTTCACCGTGGCAGAAGACGTGAGCAGCAGTGTCCTGCCCCGGCCGATGTGCACGCGGTGGCCCGGGTCGTGGCCAGGGCTCCAGGGCTGCAGCTCAGGGCTCTGGTCGGGGCACTCGGCCGCCACTGCTAAGGACAGAGGGGTGTCACTGCTTCCACCCACCCCCCTCACCAAGCAAAGGCTCTGCCACGTGGGGGCCTCCCCCACCTTCACGGCTCTCGTGGCCCGAGCCGCGTAGGCACAGGAGCCCTGGGGTCCGGCCCCACATCTTTACTACAGTCCATCCCATCTGTCCACAGGTCACTTCCTTTCTCCGGGGTCAATCTCTCTGTTTACAAAACGGAGGGCGTGGCAGATGATTCTTTAAGACATTCCCGGACCCGAAGCTAGGTAATGATCTGCCCAGAGTTCTTGCAATCCAAGAGAGTCCTCCCTCTGGAAAGCGGCGCTCTGAGAGTTAAGGAAGCCCCTTCCCTTTCCGCGTGAGACTCTGACTTTAGTTAATTTTCTAGCTCTACTCCCCTGGAAACCCAAGAGGGGATGGTGTTATATCGTAAACCGGGTCACCAAGCAACGTGGCTTCGAACAAAAGTGACCCCTTATCAGTGAGCGGCATCTAAATGGGTCAGAACTGTGCGTAATTTGTTCTCTCTCCCTGGCGGAGTCGTCTCCCTGCAGGGTCCCCCCTGGGCACGTCTCCTGCGGGGACCCAGCAAGTCACGTCTATGCAGTTGTCGTGACGGATCACCACGGTCCTTTTTAAAAGAGTAATTTGGAAAAAAAGGTGCCAATATTTAACAACACGTTGTTTACATGCTAGTATGTTCTGTGGAACAGATGTTATTGTCAGAGTTGAGAGAGAGAGAGAGAGTGCGGCTCTGCGGGCCCGAGGCCCCCAGCCAGGGCAGCTCCCACACCTGGCCCCAGCTGCCACCCGGGGAACCACACAGGGTGGCTTCTGGAAAGCCATGTGGCACGCAGCCAGGACGTCCCCGGGCAAGAGAAACACACGCCTCGCGCCCGCGCCGACGGCGGCCTGTGTTTCCACCCTGCACCCTCCTCAGCGACCCGACGCCGAGCGCGGCCTGGGGCGGCCTCGGGGTCGGCGTGTTTAGCTGAACGAGGGCCCCGTGGGGGGGCGCTGGGGAGGCGCGTGTCCCCGGCCCCAGCGGGAGCACCAGGAGCAGCCCCCTGGCCATCTGGAAGAATCTCCCCGCAGCGAGGAAAAATCCAGAAGGAAACTGGCAGGAAGACCAAACGAGAAGGGCTTGCGTCCGAGAAAAAGCCCCGATGCCTTCCTGTCCTCCGTGCCCAGGGGTTGCTACGTACGAGGGTTGGGGGATGTGGGGGCTGGAGAGGCAGGAGGGCGGGGTGCAGGTGCCAGGAGGAGGTCGGAAGGGACGGACGCGAGCTCCCGGCTCAGGCTTCGAGGAGGACGGTTGTGTCTCTTGAGCAAAGCGCGTGCAGGGAACGAAGTCCACGACGGGGGGCCGTGACCCCAGGAGGGATTCAGTAGGATCCCCAGCACGTCGGTTCAAAGTGTCGCTTTACTTCCGTCCCGTTATCTCTGGGATGAGAGTGTCTGCCCCGCATTTACGCGTCCCCAGAGAGCTGGGAGGGGGGTGCCGGATACGGACCCCCGAACCCACATCACCTCCTCCTCTTTGTGCATCTGAAGGCAGTAACCGGCCCTCTGTCCTCTGCCAGGCAGCCCGGTGCGGGCTGGCCGAGCCGTGTCCCCACCCGCCCGGCCCCGGCCCGCCAGCACCCCCCTTCCGCCCGCCATCTGCTCCGTCGTCAGCGCGAATCCGGGCTCTGGATCTCCTCCACCGAGCACAGAATTCCACGCCGTTTGGAAAGCACCTCTCCCAGCTGCTGGAAACCCCCAGGGGCTCCAGCAGTGGTGACAAAGTGAACACTAGGACGCTTGCTCATCGCTGGAGTCTCCGGAGCCTCCAGCAGGCACTGCTCTGCCTCAGCATTTAGCAGCCGAGGGTCCCGGGGGCCCAGACGAGAGCCCCCGTGGGTCAGTGCTCACGCCTGGGCTTGTCTTTGGGTCACATGCCTGGCTGGCTTCCAGCAGAGGCCAGAGGCCCCGGGCTGCCCTCCACCCAGTTCCGGACCCGGAGTATCCGTTTCCAAGGAGGCGTCCCCGCAGCGCGCGGAGGACACGTGTGGCCCGTGGCGAGCCACGCGGTGGAGGCCTGGCACCAAGAGCTTGCTGAGGAGGAGTCCCTTCGACCGCACGGGACACAGCCTCAGGGCCTCGCCACCCGCATCTCCCAGGACGAGCCCGACGGCCCCTTTACTCCGCAGGCACACGTGTGACACCAGACCTCACGTCTGGATCCGGAAGTGGTCAGCCTGAGCCCACGGGCCCTCAGGGGAGTGCAGGTCCCAGGACACCCGCAGCTCCGGCCCCACAGCGGAAGCTCGGCGGTCACCAGACGGGCTCTTTCCTTACAGCTGGATGCTTGTACCCGGGGACGGCCCGTCTCGGTGGGTTTTCGTCTGTGTGAGCTCACCAGTGGCTGGAAACGGTCGGCGCCTTGGCTGGACTGCCTCCGCAGCAAGCACCCTCCCCGGGAGGGGCCGCGGGAGCAGGAAGGAGGGTAGAGGGTGGAGGGATGTGAACGCAAGGCCCACCCGCTCGGGGCATGAATGGCAAGACGTCAGGGAGAAGGAGAAGTGTGGACCAGGGGCAACCAGAGGCACGGCCGCCTTTCCGGGGGTTTAGACCCACACCCAGAGTGAGGAGGAGAGGAGACACCCAGGGTGCGGGAGGACAGCACCCCGCAGGGCCGCCCCAGGGCCCCGAGGCGGGCCCTCCTATGAGCGAACCGGAACCCCCTTCCTGGCCTGGAGCTGCTGCCCCTCGGTGTTTACGAGGGGCGAACACGACGGAAGAAGGAAGGAACGATATTCCAGCAATGCTGACAACTGTTTCGTCGAGAGCAAAAACGTCTGAAAGGCTGCGCGAGGGGCCGCGTGGAAGGAATGTCGCTCGTGATGGATACAGAGGCCCTCCTTGCCTCCGCGGGTTGAGGAAAACAAAACATAACCTAAGTTCCTTTATTCTTCTCGTAGGAAAGCATCCGGCTGTTAGCGACAGCAGCATTTTAAAAACCAGAGCGGCTGACGGTTGGCGTTATGACCGCCAGCCCCGGGCTCGACCTTGTCTCCCATCTTCTGCCTCCTTCGACCCCGAGTCCGGCTCACGCGGTGGCTGCTTCCTG